GTTTTTGCTTTGGGGGAGCGGTGGCCCTCCTAGTTTTTTTGAGACGTTTTCCGGTTGAGCCCAGGTCTTGATTGGCCAACTGAGCATCACTCCAAGCAACTCCATTTAGCATCGGCCCTGGTGTAAGTACTCCTCACCGACTTTGAAGCGAAAGAGCCAAACAAAGACTGCAGCTGTTTGGGTCCCCATGTCTTGATAAAGAACACCTAGTTCGTAGAGAAAGAACCTCAAACAACAGCTGCGGTTTAAGCGATTAGCCGAACGAATCCATGGGGGTGTTTCTCTAAATAGGCGTTCCCTTTTTGGGATTCCGAAGCGAAACCGAGGAACACAACCACCTGTAGGAATCGGTCGCGCATTTTGAGAAACACCCACGTTTGAGTTTTGGCAGACTACTCCAATTTATCGCCCCAGTGCCACAAAGAAGGTGGCTCAACCCCCCCTCTTAGCCTTCTCCACGCATGCGGACTTTGGCACTCCACTTACATTCCCATCAGAATGGGAATGAGAGACACCTCACTGCCTGAGTTTATGGACTTGATACTGTGACCATCTCAGAGGAATTCCCAAAGGTTTGGCAGACCTTTTTGCCATCCACTGGATGGTAAGTGAAAAAGAGAAAACTCCCACACGGATTTTGGGGTCTTTTTTTGGTCCCCCATCCACTCGGTCGGAGGTGGGAGATTTGGGACATCCCATGTGGGTCTTTATTTGGATGTGAACGAGAAGGTGTCTTGGATACATTGACCCATTTACTGTTAGCTGGAGGCAGTCAGCTTCACGCTGTGCACAACAAAAATGAATGTCTCACCTTTGCCATCTTGAAGAAATGCCTCCAATTCAAACAAAACTCATCCTCATCAGGCATGAATTCGTTGGCTTGGCCAAGGCATTGTGCATCCAGTTCTGCCTTCCAACAGAGCTCCTCATGCCTCGAATTCAGCAGGGCTCCTCAACAGATCCATGTTGCAACCAGTTGAAGCATGGCTTCTTCCACCAACATAAAGGGACCCCACCATTTGCAAGTTGCAATGTTCAGGTGTAGAATGTAAAAAAAAACCGTGTGATTCAGTGGGGAGTTTCGCGCCCCCTTCCCCAGCTCCCCAGCCTTGGACGGATCCCCCGCACCCGGATGGCCCGGATGGCGAGGAAGCGGTCGCAGATGACCCCGGAGCTCTGCGCGGACCTGGATGAGCTGCTGAAGCACTCCATGAAGGTCACCCAGGCCATGATCGAGGCGCGTTGCCGCGGATTCCGATCGATCCGAAGCCGGGAGTTCAGAGACAAGGGAGCATAGAGATGCGTACACTGTTAAACTGAATGCTACCTGATTGCCTGATGTGAAAGACCTGTGATGTGTATCAGCGCGGCTGTAGTCGCTCGATTTTGTTTGGGCAGATTGTAGGCTCAAGGCCTTGACATGTACAGCCACGGTGAGACCAAGCTGTACTACCGTGACATGTATCCAAGGGAATGTGTACTCTTAACACGCCTCCTCAGAGTACAGTGTTTCAACTGTATCTCTAAAATGTATTGTATGTACAGTCATGACCTTGTGGTTCGGGATGATGTAAAACTCATTTGAGAAAACTGTTCGCCAGATTACAGATTGTTTGTACATCGATGTCCCTTGTGGGCGGTCGGTCAGGAGCTTGTACTCCAAACTCGTAGCTGAGTCCGGTGTGCCACATGGGCCCAAAATTGTACTTCTCTTGTACAACCATCTCAGTTGTTTTCCTCTTGAATTCGCTTGCTGTGCATCATTTTGTAGCTATCGTGTTGTGACAGAATCACTGCGCTGTCCACTTCTCGCATGCATTGATCGCTGTGGCCCGCTTGTCCGGGGGCCAAAACTGTAGCATCTCCTGCCAGCTGCAGCTTGTTCTCCAAGATGTAGTGAAAGAGTCTTGTGCGAAGTGGCTCTGGCACCGCTTGTATCGAGGCATATATGTACTGGGTGATGGCGCCTGCATGTTTCCTGTCGAACTTGTCTTCGACGTCCAACATCTGTTCGATGCTCAGGATGATGTGCTGTGTAGCACCATGTAACCATTCTCCAGGTTGTAGCTTCGGTACAGGTTCCTGATGTCGCCACTGATGCGGAAAAATGTACCGGTGTTCCTTTCAACCTCTGTCATGATCCAGGTGTGATGTTCATGTAGCTGTAGCACAAGTCCGATGTAGCCGCGGTTGAAGATTGAACTTTTCTTCTCACACACACACACACGCTGCAGGATTTCGGCTGTACTGAGTCAAATAGATAATACTTAGAACATATAAAACAATGTGTGTGAGTTTCTGGAAGATGCCCCACACAGCGGCTTAAGACCTGGATCTACAACATGGGAGGGAAAGGAAACTCGCCTTTTCAAAACTCTTTTGCAGCGATTGCTCATGTCATCTGTACTGTCATGGCCACTGTGGAGAAGCTAACTCATGTATCCCACAGCGTCCATGATGTTGTAGAACCTGCCAATGAAACCAAGTGTAGGGGCACGCATGTAGCCGGGAATCTTGTCGACTCTGTACGCCTCCTTGGTAGCCACCGTTTCATATGAACTTGGCCTGTTTCGTTGTAAGCGGAATGAGCACGGTGGTGTAGTCGCTTGGCTCCTCAGGAGCGATGTAGGCAGTAGGTTCCAGTTTAAAACCATCCGGTACCACCATAGGCTGATGGATTGATTTGTACGCACGATGGGCCATTGTTGACCTGGCAGTGTATCTCCCTCTAGCTGTACAAGACCGATGTAAATGGCTGCAGTGATGAAACATGTATTCAAACTTTTGTCAAGCTGTCAAGTAAAACCGCAGTCAAGAGATTGATCGCAAAAACAAGGGTCGTCGTTGTACCCGAAAGGTAGAGTAAAAGCGCAAGGGGTAGATCCATGGCAATGTAACTACCCGACCTGTGCAACTGATGTTTAAAACATTCTGTGCAAACTTTGCAGTGCAGACTGTGGGTGATACTCTTGTCATTGATGTACTTGTCGATGTCAAGGTTGGCTGGGCAAGCCTACCTTGCACAGGTGTTTGTGGAGTGTGTCGGTTGGGACAAACTTTGTCAGTATGGCCGAGGGGTTGTGTTCCGACCTTATCTTACACATTGTGATGATCTTGTTCTTGACTAGTTGTTGCGTGAACGGGTACCGTAGCTCTATGTGCTTTGCTTTCTTTGATGTACCTTCTCTCATGGCTGATGATTTAGCCGAACTGCTGTCTGTATGAATTCTGATGTTGGTCTTTGTGTCCAAAGCTTCCTTGACGAAGTTGCTAATGTAGATGCTTTCTTGTGCAGCTGTACCAATTGCGTATAGCTCTGACTCTGCTGATGACAGGGCTATTGTTGCCTGTGAACTGTAGCTCCCAGGAAATGTATGACAAATCCTGTTGTGCTCTTGCGTGTTGTTTCGCATGATGCCCAATTTGCATCTGTGTAGATGTCGATGTTGATTGGAATCCTCCTGTCTTGCATTTGTGCTGTTGGTCTGAGGGCGTGTTTCCAGTGTCTTGTACCTTTGAGGTATCGTATCATGTGCTTGAGTTTCTTGTTGTCCCTCTGTGTTGGTGCTTGTAGAGACCTGGCCAACTCCTTAGCTCCATAGCTGATGTCTGGCCTTGTGTACGCCTGTAGGCTGAATGCTGTTCCGGGTCAAGAACTGTCTCATCTTCCATTGTAGTTTTGGGATGTGAAATCCCGGGTGCTGGTGCTGCGTTGCATGTGGTCATGTTGGACTCCTTCAGTGTGTTGTCGATGTAGTCATCTTCCAGACTAATGTCAATGTGGTCTCCGTTGTGGGTGATGTGTCTTCCAAGGAAGGTGATTGTTTTGCCAGTTGTGAACTTGCCTGTTGGTCGAAGCAAGACATGTTTCATGATCTTGTCAAACAGGATGTCTATCTCCTTTTGTTCTCCCAGGAACAGTAGATCATCCACGTAGACCATGATGTAAGCCGTTCCTGCTCTGCTCCTGTAAACGTTCGGGTCTGTTTTGAGTCTTGTCAACTCAAGTGCTGTAAGTGCTTCTGCTATGTGGTCTTGCCACTGTTTGGGCGATGACCTCAGACCGTAGATTGCTTTGTTCAGCTTCCACATGATGTGTTTGTTGTTGTCGTCGTAGAACTCCGGAGGTGGTCTCATAATGATGTTGAGTGTTGCTGCTGGTGCGTGTAGAAATGCTACGCTGACATCTCCTGTGCGTACCGACCAGTTGTTCGACAATGCCATTGTAAGAAGTATCCGTAGGATACAGGACAGTGGTGTGCTTGCGTAGATGAGGTCATTGTGGCAAGCATCCGCTTTCGATCGTTTTTCCAAAGGCAGCTGCAGGAGGCCAAGGTGCCGACAGCCAAAACTGCGCCAGATCGAAGAGGAACAGAGTTGCTTGTTGTTTTGGTCGTAGTACCCATCTGGATTCTACGATGTTGGACCATTGTTCAGTCGTGAGTGTGTTGCCGTCTATTTCGGTGTAGACTCCTTGTTCCTTCATTTGTTGTATCTCCTTCTTCATTCCTGTTGCAACCTTTGCTGGATCCAGTCCCTCTGCACCCTGTAGTATGGGTTCCAGTAGTATCCTTTCATTTTCTATCTCCTGTGGATCCTCATTTGATGTTGTTTCGACGTGTTTGCCGCCCCGTGTGGTGACTGTCATTGCATTTATCCTCATTTTGCGTTGTGGTTGTTCTCCTGTAGTGGGTCTCTCCTTTACTGGTGCTCCTGCTGTTGTGTTCTGCTGTTTACTTGTGCTGCCTTCTGTGACTTCATCCGGTCGTGGTTTTGTTGATGATGTAGGCATTGGCAGCGCTGGTCGTTGTGTCGTAGGTGGAGCTGTTGCCATCGGCGATGTGGGTTCCTGTGTTCTCTGCTGTTTCTTTGGTGAGCCTTCATCCTTTTGTTCGCCTGCATTGAGCTTGCCATCTGATGATGTGCTCGTTGTTGCGTCCTTGTGTTGCTTTGCCGTCTGCTGTTGTCGTTGTGGTAATGGCAGTGTTGTTGGCGTGGTTGTTGTCTGCGTTGTCGGCGTAGTAGGCGCCGATGCTGGTGTACTCCATGGTCCCATGTTGATCACGTCGAAGAGTTGTTGGTTGTACTTGTGCGGTTTGATCTGTCGTCGTATCGTACGTGCACGTAGTATCTTGTTGTATATCCCTATCAGGGATTCGCTTGTGGTTGTGTCCTTCCCAAGCCATATTCCGTTGAAGAAGCGTGGTTCTAGCTTTGGGAACTGTTTTATTGACGAGATGTATTGTACGGTTTCGCCGAATTCACACAGTGGAGTATGTTGCTTTTTGTGCCATCTGTTGTAGAAGCTTCTGAATCCGTGTGCGTGTATGGCGTATCTGTTCACGATGTAGGCGCTGTGTCGCACTATCCACGGCATGATGGGGTGTTTTATGGTGATTGTCCTGTTGTAGCTCTGGAACATTTGTGCTCTCAGTGTTCGTATCTGTCCGAAGAGTGTGCGGTGTGCCCGTTCTACGCCTCCTTGTGACTGTGAACTGTATGCCGGTGAAGTGCGTGTAGTTATGTTCCCCATTGCGTTTGCCACTGCAATTGTAAGTGCGATCAAGTAGTCTTCTTGGTCTGATTGCAGTATCACATGTGTTGTTCTGCCGCATTCTACCAAGAACTGCTGTAGTTGTTGCACGGCGTAGTCAAAGAGTCGTTGCTTCTCTGATTGCTGTGAGTGTCGGATGTACCTTGCTATCGTCGAAGCCTTTTAGGTATGCGAAGTCTAGTTGTATGATTGGCAATGTGCTCTGTTGCTTCGGGTGATTGTTTGCCCGACCGCGAGCCTGTACGCATGTTGGACACCAGCTCCTGTACGGAAGGTGTGTCACGTTGTGTTCTAGTATCTCGGCTGTTTTGGTGCTTGTACTGCTCGTGCCTTTCTGCCCTGTTGCTGTTCTTCGTCGTCTGACTCCAGTTGTGCCGGGTACTGTTCTTGTTCCTCGAAGTTTGTCCAGCCAGTCCAAGGTGTGTTTTGTCCATTCGTCCTGTACTACCTTGATGTTGCCTCCTGCTGCTGGTTGTATCTTTGTTAGCCTGTACGTGCTCAACTTCGAGACGTCCGGTCCATCGTCTGTTTGCTCTGGTATGTAGTAGGATGTGCGTGGTTGTACGTGGACTCGCTTCCAGTATGCCTTCTCTGTACCAGTAGTCTCCACCGGGTTGTAGTTCCGATGGATGAGGGATTCCTTGTCCTGTCCCAGTCGTCTCTGACTGCTGTTGTTGTGTTGTTTGTCGTGGTTGCTTTCCTGTTATCCTCCTCTTTGTGGTTTGTATTGTATTACTTGTGGTGTGACTCTCGATGTTGTGATCTCTTTCTGTTGCGATTGCTGCTGCCTTGCCGCCAGTTGCTGTTGTAGTGTGTCTGGCAGTGTTGTACCTTTCTTTAACCTGAACACTGTCTCTCCTTTCCGCAGAGTTGGCTCTGCCTGGTTTGGATTGTCGAGATGTTGGTATCGATCCTCTATCGTCCTTGTTGTACCGTTCTCTCCTTTGATCGTTGTTCTTCTGCAGTTCTCAAGTCTATCTGTCGAAACCGGGCACTGTGTTCGTGTTGGCGTGAACATTGGCTTCCTGTATTGCCGATGTACTCTGACGAGCTCTCCTTGGCTGTTGAATTGCCAGTAGTCTCCTGCATATCCTGTGTACTGTGCTCCTTGAGGTGTCAGTGTGGTTGTTGGTGCTATCATTGCCACCTGTCCTTGTTGTGTGTTGTCTACCTTGAATTCTGTCCCTCGTGGCAGTGTTGTGATCCCTGCTTGTAGGAAGAGTAGTGCATGTGACCGTGTGATGCTGCTGTCGAAGCCCTTGTCGTGGTGTATCCTTGGATTGTCATCCAACACAATCTGGAATCCTTGTTCTATCAGTCTTGTCACTGATAGTATGGGTTGTTTGACCACACACGTAGAACGGTATGACAATGGATTGTCCGTTGATGTTGTTCATACAAACCCATTTGTATCCGTGTAGCTTGATTGGCTGGTTTGTCACTGTCCTCAGCTGTGGTCCGTTTTCCGGTGTCAGTGGTTGTATTTGTGACTCTGTTGCAAACCATGGTGGGCAGACATGTGTGGCTGCACCACTGTCGATCATGAGATCGATGTAGCTGTTGCTTGTGCCTTCTTGTTGTTGTACCGTTGATGTCGCAATGATCACTTCTTCAAGTCCAGAGACTATCAAAGGCATTTGTTCATTGCCTTGTTGTAGTGCTAGTTGTTTCTGATTGGAATGCAATTGTGTCTGGTCAATGTGGTGCCAATTTCCATCGTAGTGATTGTTGTGATACCAGTCATTTGTGACGTCATTGTCTTCCATGTTGTTGTTGTCATAGTTGTAGATGGCCACTCTGCATTGCTTGGCCATGTGTCCTGGTTGACCGCACCTGTAGCATACGTTTGTGGCTTGCTTTCCTTTTGTTCCTTTGCCTCCTTTGCTGTAGTTGTTGTATCCTTTACCTTTGTGATATCCTTTTCCTTTTCCTTTGTTGTTGTATCCGCCTTTGAACGGATTTCCTTGTCCTGTCGGCTGATTGTATCTGTTGTCTCCTTTGCCTCCTTTGCGATTGCTGTAGCTGCCGTAGCCGCCGTAGCCCTTTCCTCTGTTGTATTTTCCTTTGTTCTTTCCTTTTCCTTTCTTGCCCTTTCCTTTGTTGTACCATGTTGCTCCTATGTCCATTGGTGCTGGACCTTGGTTGTCATTCAATACTCGTAGCCGCTTGTAGTTTGACGAATTGTGATGCTGCTCTGTGATACTCCACAACCAGTGATCTGATTTGCGCGTAGGTTGTGATATTGCCTGCTTGTAGTTGCAAATGCTGTTGTAGTGGACCTTTTGTCTCGTTGGGCAGGATTGCAATCTTGATTGCATCCGGCAGTAGTGTCCTGTTGTCTTGCTCGTACTTGGCCAGTTGAAACTCCCATGTTGTAAAGCTCTCTTCGAACTTGTTTTCGTCTAGTTGTGGTTTGAGTAGCTTGGTGAGGGAACCGATGCTTCTTGTACCAAGTGGCAGTGCGTAACGTAGGTGTAGTTGTCTCCATGTCTCGAAACCATTGCCGAGCATGTTCTGTCTGCATATTGTTGATGCTGCTCCGTCACATGTGTTGACGAGCAGAAAGTGTAGATCTCCGCTGAGTTGTAGCCATCGGTCTGCTGTGTGCTGATCTGGTGCGCTTGTTCCGCTTGACTCAGTAGTCTGTTGTATGATGATTCTTGCAAACCGAGGTATGCTGTCATCTTGTACTTCCATTCTTCGAATGTGGTGTATTCGCCACTGAATCGTGGTGGTGATATTCTGTACTTGTGGACTCCTGACAGTTGCTGTTGGAGTTGTGCTTGTTGTGCACTCCCCTGTGCCGCCATTGTCACTTACTGTGCTACTGTGTACTTTGGTTGGTTGGATCTTTCCCAAGGTGTGGTGATGCTTGTAGTCAGTTGAGCTCCGCTACCATGTTAAACTGAATGCTACCAGATTGCCTGATGTGAAAGACCTGTGATGTGTATCAGCGCGGCTGTAGTCGCTCAATTTAGTCCGGGCAGATTGTAGACTCAAAGCCTTGACATGTACAGCCACGGTGAGACCAAGCTGTACTACCGTGACATGTATCCAAGGGCATGTATACTCTTAACAGACACGCACATATATATATATATATATTCACTTCCATTTTCTTCAGGATAGTTGTTTCTTTCTTGTTGGTTTTGGAAGGAACTTATCACTAATGGAAATATGTTTGGTTTTTTGTTGCAAGGGTCTTAACCAAATGGAAGTGTGTATATACATATTTGTTATACAGATCTATGAGTATGTGTACCACAACCCAAAATGTATATGACTTTTGTTTGCAGACTTTTGGGGTTGGTTGTTGGTTTGAAGAGAAACCAAAGGGAAGCCATCAATGTGAGGGTACCCGTATGTTGAGACAGGTTCACGTTCAGGTGGGTTGAAACATCACCTTCTTGGCCCATTTCAAGCGATTTCCACTGGCAGGCAAAAACAAAGGGGAATTTGACAAACGCGGCGTGAGGGTGCCACAAATAGTTGGGAACCCAGGTTGGGGGGAGAAGATCCCAAAATAATCGGGGACCCTAAGATAGATGTGATGTTTGGCTTCCCTTTGAAGCAGGTTCAGAAGGAGAAGGTTGAAACGGCAAACGGAAGATCCATGAGTTGCAGAGTTGCTACTTGAGGCCCATGTTCGGGGACGCTGCCTCGAGAAGGTTGCCTTTTCATAGGACCCACTTAAAAACAAGTTGACCTCTGGTGGATTGAAGGGGGGCCCATTTCAGACAGAAGGATCACTCTGGATGGCTGAAGGTTCCCTTTTGGTCTCTGCAAAGCTAACCAACAAGGGCACCCAAGAAGAGACACCCACATGACCATGAGTCACGAGTTCGGAGGCAAATTTTGCAAGATTGGACTCGGCGGATGCAGTTTGCATTCAGCAAACTTCTGCGAGGCCTGCCAGTAAGGGAGCTGTTTTTCCTTTGGCGCGATCCTTGAGAAACATGTCAACTTCCAACAGCTTCGCCAGGGTTTGCCGACTCGCGCCACTTGATCATTGAACCACCCCCCCCCATACTCACTTTCTGAGTTCCTGGACTTTTAACTTTTTTCGTGAAGAACATTTCAGTGGCAACTTACAAGTTCAGGCAGGTTTTTGGGCCAATCACACTCAGGAACCCACAAAAACCCACTCCAAACATGGTCTCGGTTTGAGTTGTTTGCTTTCGCAAGACGGTCTTTGGGGACCCCTCATGTCCCCTTCCGGTTTTCGGGGCGGTCACGGGTCACGGCGGATGTGTTTCTTTCCTCGCGCATTTCCGTTTCCTCGAGGTGGCCTGCATGCGGGAGTGGTTCGGCACCGCCCAGGGCATGATCGAGTTCCGGCGCTGCCTGGTGCAAGCGCTGGACATCAAGACCTCCCAGCCCTCCGGCGAACACTTCGGATTCGCACATGGGCTGCTGGTTCTGTCTGATCCCCCGCTAAAAGTGAATAACTCTTAGTGGGTTAAATGGAAACTACCACTAAACACTTTGTACATGTTCTACTACTCAGTTAGCCCCTGAAATGTCATTGCTTTAAAACAAATGATTAAACACTTGACACAATAGGACTCTTGCTTCAACTTTGGTAGTTTCAAGACCTTATCACTTTGGTTGATTCGACACAGTTGAAGAGTCAACCTCCTCGTGGTTTTTGTCTGGCCAAACCATCAAGGGCAGTTTTGGTGTCCTCCCCAAACTTCCACCCCTCGGAGCCATCATGGGAGGTGCGTGAGGTGCCTGCCTAGCACTGCGCGGCAACCAGCCTTTCCAGTTGACCCCGTTGGGGTTTGAAAAGGGCACTTTGAATCATATGGCTGTGGCTCAAAAAACCGGAATTCCAAAATGGCTTGCCCTGGTAAGTGGAAACATGGACCAAAGCCTGCGGTTTGCCCCTCCTGTTTAACTTTGAGCCACACCCATATATTCCTTGGCCCGTATCGATTCCACCGTTCAGCGGCCACTTTTTGAGTTTTTCAAGCTTGCATTCTACATTTTCACTATGGACCAGAATCCAAACATTGGACAAGCTGAGCAGAGCATGTTGCAGTCTTTGCCCAGAAGCCGAGCATGTTGCAGTTTTTTGGAGATGGAAAAAATAGACACCGAGCATGTTGCAGTCTGTTGGAGCCGAACAAAAACACAGAAACCATGCATGATGCAGTTGTTTGGAGCTGAAAAAAAAGAAACCAAGTGTGTTGCAGCCTTTTGGAGCTGGAGAAAAGCCCAGAAACCGAGCATGTTGCAGTCTTTTGGAGCTGGAAAAAACAGACACCGAGCATGTTGCAGTCTTTTGGAGCTGGAAAAAACAGACACCGAGCATGTTGCAGTCTGTTGGAGCTGAAAAACACACAGAAACCATGATGCAGTTGTTTAGAGCTGAAAAAAACACCAAGTGTGTTGCAGCCTTTTGGAGCTGGAGAAAAACCAGAAACCGAGCATGTTGCAGGCTTTTGGAGCTGGAACAAACAGACACCGAGCATGTTGCAGTCTGTTGGAGCTGAAAAACACACAGAAACCATGATGCAGTTGTTTAGAGCTGAAAAAAACACCAAGTGTGTTGCAGCCTTTTGGAGCTGGAGAAAAACCAGAAACCGAGCATGTTGCAGGCTTTTGGAGCTGGAACAAACAGACACCGAGCATGTTGCAGCCTTTTGGAGTAAAACAAAAAAAAAACAGAAACCATGATGCAGTTGTTTGGAGTTGAAGAAGAAGACACCAATTGTGTTGCAGCCTTTTGGAGCTGGAGAAAAACCAGAAACCGAGCATGTTGCAGGCTTTTGGAGCTGCAAAGAAACAGAAACCGAGCCTGTTGCAGTCTTTTGGAGCTGAAAAAAAACAGAAACCATGCACGATGCAGTTTTTTGGAGCTGAAAACAGGAGAAACCAAGCATGGTGCAGTCTTTTGGGGCCGTTTTTTCCTTTCATGGATCCCTTTTTTCTCGTTTTTTCGGCCTTTCGGTGCCCGGTGCCCGGTGCTAAAGCGCGGAGGCTCCTGCAGATCCCCCACTTCAGCGAGAAGCAGGTGGAGCTCTGCCACGGCTTCCAGGTCACCACGCTCCGGGAGTTCCTGGCCATGGCCACTTTGCTCTTGACAGCGATGGGGTCCCTATCTGAGGTGTCCTTTTTCATGTTTGTCGTTGGGACACATTTTTCCCATTTTTGCTTATTGCGGTTTAGTGGTTGACATGGGTCATACTGTGGATGGTTGCGAAATCCTCTCAGGCACCACCTAAGAAACCCCATGATGAATCCCCTGTACATACCCATGAACCATGGTTTCAACCATGGTTTCCAAGTGGTGCGAAATGGATTTCGTCCATCCACGGTATCTTAGGTGCCCTTTTTCATGTTTGTCGTTGGGGGACATTTTACATGTTTGCTTATTGCGGTTTAGTGGTTGAAATCCCCACTTAACTGCTAGAATTTAATGTTTTGCTCCCCTTCAACGTCAACCAATGGCGAGTTTGTTTGAAAATGGATGGAACGTTTCCACTGGGTTAGATTTGGGCTTCTACCAAGGCCATGTTTTTGTCCAACAGGCCACCTATGTCCCTATATTTCCCTTTCTGGTTGTTTGAAACACCTTGTTGGCCCAAAGGTGAGTATCCGTTGGTGGGGGTGATGTTTTAAGCGGAAAAATACAGGGAGCAATGTGTTGGGTTCGGAAAACGGGAAACACCGGAAGCCAAGGTCCCCCAGCTAGGTGCCAACTTTGACCGTTTCCTTTTTGGTTTGGAGGGCTCCCCTACCAAAATAGCCAGAAAAAAAGTTGGTACCCACAAGTCTAACCTCACTGGAGGACCCAGGCTTGCTGGTGCGAGCAGGGAATGAGGTGGAATGAAGTTCCATGGGTCCCTTACTCACTTCCTGAGTTCATGAACTTTAAACTGTTTGGGAAGACCATTTTAAAAGTGGTAAATACAAAGTTTGGACTTTTTTTAGGCCATCCACTCAGCCAGTGAGCTTAAGGGAAAACCACAGGGAAGGAGTTGGAATGCTGTGGTGACTGGGGCTGGAGAAGTCAGAGTCGTGGGCGCAACAGAGGCTCGCCCGAGCCGAATCAACCATTTCTTCACTGTTCTTGGCATGTTTTTTGTTTTTTTAGTTTTTGGTTCTGTTCATTTTTACTGGGGTCTGCAAAGAACAAAGTTTTTTTTTTTTTTTTAATCTACCATACCAAGAGTAGAGATGATTTGAGAGACGGATGACTTCAGCATTGTGAAGGCACTGAAGGTGAGGACATGTGCGGATGTCGGAGGTTCGCTCGCCTGGCCATGCTCTCAGATGGTTTCTTTTTAAGTACAGCCCACGGCGGGCACTTGGTCAGAACGAACGTGATTCAGCCGTCTAAGGACAAACCAGGACAACTCAGCACAAAAATCACAGAGAAAGCACCATCGCTGCAGCTGCGGCAGTTGCCAAACATGCCTCTCGTGATTGTTGGCCAACATCGCGCAGGAGCCCTTATGCAAAGCCAGCATAAGCATGAGATCTAAGAACAAAACCGGAGAACTCAACAAGCAAACGATATGGCTGTGGCTCAAAATTAAACAGGAGGGGGTTAATTCCGCAGGTTTTGGCCCATGTTTCCACTTACCAGGGCAACCCAGCCATTTCGGACGTTCCCGGGTTCTTGGTTTTTCGCCACGGCCAGAGCAGAAAGTCCACTCAGATCTCGGGACCCGACTCCGCAGTTGCGCCATGGCCTATGACCTGGCGCAGCTCAGAACCATGCGCTTGGGGGCGGCCTCCGCGCTGGCGTGCGCCTGGCTCGGCTTCCCATGCGCCGCAGGCGGTTGGGCCACCGCTTTCCGGCGCCTTGAGCCGAGCAGTCACCTCACTTCCTGAGTTGGTGGACCTTAAACTTTTTGGAAAGACCATTTTAGTGGTAAATAAAAAGTTCAAGCTTTTTTTGGCCAGTCAACTTGGGAAGTGAGAGTCAGAAACACCCCCGACTCACCATGGGTCCAAGGCCGCGGCAGCTGTGGGACCAAGTCTGAAGTCCTGGGTGGTTTTCATGTTTGGTGAGGGTAATCTTTTGGGGTCATCTTTCAGGGTTTTCCATTTTTTGGTCCAGATCTAGTGACCTTTCAAAAGGTTTTTCAACTTTTAGTTCCTTGGGGTCCTTGGTCCTTTGGGCAACCGAGGTGCACCTGCGTGGGATACTTCACTTGCAGTGCGCTCCCACTGGTGTTGGGTGAAGGACAGGGTTGTGGGATCAAGGGGATTCTCCAACCACTTGGGTGATACAAGGGAATCCCCCTTTATATTAACAAGTCTTTGGGAAGCCCTTTTTGTGGTATCACTGTATCACAGAAGTGGTCATTCCCCACAGCCCTGGTGAAGGATCTCTCAGCCGTCGGCTCTTGAGAGCAAGTCTGCTGATCCACTCGGTCTCCGCATGGCTGGTTTCGTGGCTGTGGTGTCTCGGATTCGCGGAATGGTGCATTCTGTTGCTTGGCGGCGAAGCCAGCCATCCGGATATCCCATGCCTTAGCTCTTTAGCATCTGGTGTTTAGTGGTAGTTTCCAAGTCTATCCCACCAAAAGTTCGTCACTTTCGGCGAGAAATCAGACGCGCAGAGGATGGTGCTGGTTCAGTGCGTCCAACTCTTCGCTCTGCTGGTCCTCGTGGGGACCCACCTGCAGTTCCACCTGCTCTTCACGCTTCTGGGCTCCCTGCTGGCCTATGTGGGCAGACGGGAGGTCGCGGAGCAGGCAGCGCAGGCGCAGCTGAAGACCTGGGCTGTGTGCCTCGTCTTTGTGGTCTCCAGCCTGGTGCTGGGCATGTGGTGCACGCATCACCATGCCCTGCAGTTCCTGCAGAAGAAGCTCCAGGTGCTCTACTCCATCGTGAAGATGCCGGAGGCCTTGAATGCTATTGGCTTGGATCTTTAGACTTTAACTTTTTGGTTGAAATAAAGGTGTTTTGCACTAAACCCCCAAAAGTCAAATAATATATATATATAAAAGAAGGAACAGTTGCAGGGGGGTCGTTACCGCAACCAAGAGGCGGTGGCGCAAGATCTCGACGAGATCACGCGGGTCTGCTCTGCGATGTCCAGCTCCAGTTCTCGCGGCAGCGCGGAGCATAGCCCGATCGCGGTCTCGGGATGGATCGACGGCTTGGAGCTGGGCAAGCGTGTCGGTAAAGGACAGGGCTGGGATCACTCGGGGTTTATCCCCACTTCCTTGACTGCTATTGGCTTGGATCTTTAGTCTTTAACTTTTTGGTTGAAACAAAGGTGTTTTCCACAACCCCCAAAAACTTAAGCTTCTTGCAGGGGGGTCAACAGCAACCAAGCTTCTGTGATGGAAGGGAATCCCCTTTTACATGCGGGCCAGTCTTTTGGGAGACCCGTTTGTTGTATCTCACAAGTGGTCACGTTCCACAGCCGTCAAGGATCCTTCGGCACGGTCTACTACTGCAAGTGGCAAGACGCTCCCGCAGCCGTCAAGGTGATGACTGTGAACCTCCCGTGTCCCATACAACCGAACCTTTGGTGCATTTTGCTTGGAGGTTAGGACCGTAACGTTTTGCTAACTGCTGGGTTTTCCGTATTAAACCACTAAAAGTTATTCACTTTTAGCACAGAAAGCAAGCGAGGAACAGCTCCAAATCAAGACGGAAGGAGAGGAACAACCCATTCCAGGAGGCCCAGCTTTGTGCGAAGCTGTCGCACCCCAACCTGGTACGAAGCTTTCAGTCCTGCACCCGGGACATGAATGGATTGACGGAGATGTGGATCATACAGGACTTGGTGGCTCCCAGCCATCCCCTTAGCTTTTTAGCAACTTTTAGTGTTTAGTGGTAGTTTCGATTGAACCCACTAAAAGTTAAACTTTTAGCGGGGGATTTGCAGCCCAGCAGGAGTGGTGCGACCGGGGCACCTTGTCCGCACATTGCAACATCTCGAGATGTGATCCGCCGGGCTGCAGGCATGTGAAGGCCTTGCTGAAGGATATCCTGAGCGCCGCATGTCATTTGCATAGCTTCGGGATCATTCATGGAGACCTGACTGCGAACAACGTGCTGCTCCAGTCTACAACCGCCGACATGCACCGAGATTTCGTGTGCAAGGTGTGTGACTTTGGCCTTTCCCGCGTCCTGGAGGAGGGCAAGACAGAGCTGTTCACCTCGCAACTCGGGACTGTGTCACACATGCCCCCAGAGCTCTTACAGCTCGAGAAGAAGAGCTTATCCAAGAAGGCGGATGTCTACGCAACTGGCATCCTGCTTTATCAGGCTTTGATGGGGGAGCCGCCCTACCAGGGAATGTCAGCTGCACAGGTGGTTTTATATGTCGCCCAGGGCAACATGCTCCACCTTAGGCCTGGTGTCTCGCAAGACTTAAGCCGTGCCTTCGAGCAGTGCACAAGACGGCGCCCTGCCGATCGGCCAGAGGCCCGGCAGCTGTTGACCGAATTACAACTCCCAAGCTTACCAGGATGGGAATGAGCCAGACAGCCTTGTTTCACCCTCTACTTTTTGCATACTTGGACGTTTTATGAGTCCTTGAATAATCTTGAATACTTGGGCTAGAAGTCTGGCTCCCGCCGTGCATTTGGGTGGTCATTGTAGATATTCGGCGGATGTTCTAAGCAAATTAGTTCCGCCATATCCTTGACACACATCAGGACCTTGCTGCTTTTGAGCACCAGTGTCCAGCTCATTTTGCTGCGGAATCGCGAATTATTGAAGGATGATGCAGCGAGAAAAGCGGGGGATGGGGTTTTGGGGGGGGTGGGGGGTTGGGATGCCTCTGTGTCTGGGATGGCAGCTTGAGGAAGTAGAGCAGCGGAAGAAGCTGCAGCTGAAGGACGAGGAGCTGTTGGATGTGGAGGCCTGCTTTTCGAATTCCGACCCGTTGCGCGATGCTTAGAACCTGAAAGATGGGTTGTGAGTGACCCTGCTTGGGCATCATCTTTAACCATGGGGTGTTTCAGCATCGGTTCAGAACGCAGGAGATTGCTCTGAGGAAGTCCAGTTGAGGATAAAGATGAAAGAGCCTGGCAGGGCGAGGGTTGAAACTCATTCCTGCCTTTGCCTTTGCCTTGGCTAAAAAAGCAAGACTGCGTTTGTGTTTGTTGAACGTCAACAAAAACGCCATTTGCTTTTTGGAACAGCAAGTCAGCAGCATTGGTGTTTTGGGAACACAAATCCGCAGCATGTGTTCTTGTTGAAGGTTGCTTCACTCACTTGCATCAGACAACCGCCCATCTCTCGTTGAAACTTTGCAGTCTTTCGCCTTGAGTCGTCCGTCCTTTGAAGGTTCCCCCCCCATTTTTTTTTGTCCAGAGCTTTTCGAGGAGCTTTGCAGCCACATCGGGGAGACTGTGATCAAGGCGCGGGTCGGTGGCCATCTGGCCGTGTGTTTTGCTTTTGTTTTTCAATGGGGAACCACCCTACATCGCGTACCCCTTAATTGGTGGCTTGGATTGGTTTGGGATTTTGTTCCCCGAATCTTGTGGAGGGGAAATGGGAAACCAGCTAAGCACCAAGCCATCAATCCAAAACACCAATTGGGGGGAAGTTGATCGCAAGTGGTTGAGGACATGAAACCCCGCCCGACTGAGCTAGCACCGTCACCCTCCCACCAACTATCACAGCCGGATCCGTTCGATGTTCGGGAAATGGTTCCTCAGGAAAATGGTCCGGGACCGATTCCCCGAACGTAAGGGAGGGTATCAATCTTATTTGGACTGCTTGTTTATTCTTTCCTAGTTTTGGTGCATAGGGTGTCCACACGGTTATGGATGTTTGGCCAGGGAATTGTTCACCATCCACGCGAAAACAGACCTGTGTTCCACATGTCAGGGTAAGATTACCCTGTTGACTGTACCGTTTGCAAATCTGCAAGCACCCTTCAAGGGATGTTTGCACAGCGGGCTCTTGTTGGCCTGGCGTGAGACGGGGCAGGTTTTCTTTTCAGCCTGGCTTCAAAGGAGGCCAAGATGGACATGCCGCGGGCGGGATATGCCTGGATTCAGGTTGGCTTTGTTTCCAGTGCAGATCCAGAGGGCACTTTGACCACGGAGCTTGAAACGGTGAGTGTCCTGTGATTCATTGGTTACAGCCATAGCCTCTCGCCTCGCAGCCGCCCTAGGCCACCATTTCCACAGACGACGAGTCAGAGATCGTGGTGGGTGACGTGGCCACAGTGACAGTGCAGATGTGCAGGAGCAGGGTTGTGGGATCACGTTCGGCTTACCCCAACTGTACAAGAGAATAAATATCCCCCGTTTGGGCGGGTTAGTCTTTGGGCAGCCCTTCTCAGTTGTTCAGTGGCTCCTTTTTTCCCTTGTTTTTTGGTGGCTGCCCCACTAAATGGTCTTCCCCAAAAAAGGGTTCCCTTTTTTCTCCAGGATCACTGAGCAACTGAGCCTTTCTGTTGTATCGCAGAAGTGGATTCCATCAGCCTGCGCAGGAAGCAGCTTCAAAAGGATGAAGCTCAAGGCCCTGCTTCGTGGCGGCGTTTTTCTTTTGAAGATTTGTTTCCCCTGTTGGTTTTAAAGGGAATCTATGACTACTGGATTGTTTTTTATTTTTCCCAGGGGGCTTAAGCAAATGGAAGTTAACAGAACTGGGCCGCCGACATGATAAAACACGGAAACATCGCATGCGCATTCATTCGTTAAAAGCCACTTGTTTAGTTATCAACAACCCGGGGAGTGACAAAATTGATATCTCGCGCTGAGATGCAGCTGGAAGGTTCACATGCCAAAGACCGCCTCTAAAGAAGGTAGGACCCTGGACTTGTTTATCTCACATGGATGGCAACAGGGAGTTGTTTTTCCGACAACGAAACCAGACCCAGACGACCAGAGCAAGTAATCAGCTGTACGCATAGGTTTGGTTTGATTTGGCTTGGTGAGCTGCTTCGTTGGTTAGTTGGTTGTTTGACGGCAGATGTGGAAATTGTTCTGCTTCTTCGAGGACTGGGTCAGGCTAGATTCTATGCCAGGGCCGATTCAAAGAGTTGAGCGAGGATGCGCTTGATCGCAATCATTCAGATCAGGGTTGACTTGGAGCGACCCATTGCCTGAAAACATCCTAGTGGACATATTGACGCATATGGGGGTTGATCCAAGGGTCCTTTGCATAGGATGACCATTGGGATTCAGGAATGGATCAACCCCCATATATGTACATTATAATATATATATATATATATATATATATATATATTTACATATATATATATGTGCATCAAGGGTACATACTGGGGCACGTGGTCGGACCCAATCCTGCCACCAAGTCCTGCACAGCCCCAAGCAAAAAGCCAAAGTTATGCGATGCAAGGGGTCCCTCTAAGAGAGCCCCGCAAGGCCTCAGTCAACCTGAAGCTTATTAAGCCTCAGGCCTGGGAATGGGCGGGGGAAACAAACTTCGTCCGTATAGTTGGGCAAGTCAATCCAGGGTGCTTGTACATGCCCCCTTTTACATACTCCTTGAAATAAGGTGGGTTGGAAACAAGGGAAGCCAAGGGGTATGAACAAGGGGTATGTACTTCCACCCTTGAGTCAAACTCTTGCGGGGTGTGCAAAAACATAAAAGCCAAGCACCGTCTTCGCTTCTTGCCGTTTGGCGCAGCAGGCTCACTTGCCCAAACTCTGCCTTTAAACCTTTTGGTGTCCCTGTGTTGGTCCATTTTTTCTCGAGGTTCGAAAAAGGTCAACCTGTCTATTGGGTCCAAACTGAGCAACTGAGCAATCCAACACACTTCCGGTGGCACTGAAAATTCCATGCGCACAGCCTAGCATCCAGCCAAGGTTCACGCGCCCTTCTTCCCCATCGCCAAGTTTGAGGAGCGCCTTGGACCGCCACGCATGCGTATTCAGGCATCGAGCCTTTTCGCCGGCGACAGCTAAATAGACCATATCTTTTTTCAAGTAGCCCAAACAGAAACCAGCACTTCCATTTGCTTAGTGATATGTTTGTTGCATGTTTTATCTGTGGGTTGCAAAGGGAATCCATGAGGACTGGAAGCAATATTTTCAGGACTTCAGCAAATGGCAGACCAGGGGTCTGATATTTTTCCCCACACACACCATTTTACACCCAGACTTACTGCCACAGCTGTCACCTCGGGAATTCGATGCAAGGGGTTGATGGCGAAACGGGAAACTGCGCTGTCCTGGTGAAGGCGGCGACGTATTTGGACCCAACCCCCCCCCCCTTTGGCCGATTGTTTGTTTATCTTTCCCTGCGAGTTGAGCCCAAGGTTCAGCAGATTGGGGGCCGCCCAGGGGATAGCTAGGCCTGCCGTTTGAACATAAACTGACAAGAAAGTAACTTGGACTGAACTCTGGAGTCTGTTTCAAAATCCGAAGTCCACTTTAAGACGGACGGCACAATGGATGAAAACAACCTAGATACGAGAACTGGTCGACCTATCCCAGCACCCTCCCAACAACTGCTTCTTCGTTACCGTAACAAGGGGACTTTGGGACACATGGGTTGCAAAAGCTGTTGGGGGGTCAAGCCTCACTATCTTGCCATCATCAAAGTCCCCCTTTTTTCAGTGGTAGATTAAAGGGAAACCGCCAACCAGTTACTTACGTTAATTGCCAGAAACAATGAAACTCATCAATTTCAGCTGCCAGGCGCAATTCCCCTTCCCAAGTTTGCTTGCCTTTCTAGGTCCCCCAGTAGTGCCCTTTACCCTTTTTTGCAAGGGTTCCCCCTCTAAAGCAGACACAGGAAAAAGGGTACCCTTGTTCTAACCTCTCTACTGGAGGACCTCGCTTTGGCTCAGAACTGCACAAACCAAACACCTTCCTTGTCGCAAGCGCGTTCGCGCGTGCGCGTCCGTCCGTCTTCCCCACGGACGCAAAAGAAATGCGTCGCCACAGGCGCGGGGGGCGCGCGGTCGAGTCACTGAGGTGGTGGCTCTTCCTGGTGGACAGCGGGGCCAAGGAGCGCATCGTCCACTTCGAGCGGGTCTGCGAGACGGAGCGCTGTGTGGAGGAGAAGCTCCGGTTCCAGGCGGGGGGGTTGGTTGTTGGGGTTTTGCGGGGGTTGGGGGGGGGTTGGGTGGGTTGGGGGGGGGGGTTTTACCTACCCAAGAGGACCCCCCAGTTGGATAAAATCCCCTCAACCGACCAATTCACATAATATTTTTTTATCATTTCATAACAGAACCTCAACTCAAGATTTGATACATAATTTTTGTAAATATTTTTCTAAATTCCCAAAATATATTTTTCCAAAATCCCAAATTCCCAAAATATATTTTTCCAAAATCCCAAATCCCAAAATCCCCATAAATCCAAATCATAAATCTTACAATAAAATTAAATTGTAAGGTTTATGGGTTAATTTATAATTTAAGTTCAGGATAATAATTTAATTGACAAATCTCACTTATGTCATACATCATTTTAAAAATAATATTAATATCTCTCACTGTATTTTTAACATTAAACTTTTTATAAATTTCAATATAAAATTTGATATATTCTTTAATATCTTCTCCTTTCTTTTGACTATAACACAACATCCTTAATATATCATAAATCATTTCATATTTTTTCTTACTGATTTTAAGAAACTGTTTAACATAAACGTAAGGTGGTAATTTATTTACAGTTAAAAATATCAAAATCTCATCTTCTACATTTCTTTCATCTATTTTTTTTTTATCTCCAAAATATGTTCTATTATATTTTGATATCGTCTCCATCTTCTACAAGTTCTACATAAATCTTCTTCACCCAAAGCATAATCAATAATATTATTTATTATTCCATTAGGTAAGTTTAATTTATACAATTCCATATTTTCCTTTTTAAAGTGGCAACAGTCATAGCATTTCTTATTAATATACTTATTGATTTCAATACCGTTCATTTCTTCACTATTAATATAAGGTGTTTTTTCTTTAGGACTATTTCGCCTAAAACTAAATTATTAATTTAAGTCTTTCTATTATTTTATCACACGTTGTTTCATTATAAATATTACTTCCTATTGTTGTTCTAAACAACCCCATTGTTCTAATTGCATGTGTGATTGTATATCTAAGTTCGTCAATTCTATACTCATTATTTAAAAACTCATTTAAAAAATCAAGCAATACAACATAGTTTAAACGTTTAATATTAAAAGACATATTGTATAATTGTTTTACAATACTATAATACTTAAAAATAAATCATTATTATTATATCCTTCATCGTCACATTCTAATAGATTATCAAACCCTTCTATAGTTAAGAAATTATTCATTTCAATAAGCACAAATATTTCTAAATCATCATCAAGAGTTTCATTATTTATAATATCAATATCCTTGTTATTCATATCATCAATTTTTTTATAATTCTATTGCAATTATTGCATATCATATATTGACAAATATTATTACAAACGCCATTTGTAAAACCGCGTTCAATTGGTAATTTCAGCATTTCACAGTCATCGCATTTATAACTCATAAATTTGTTTTTCAATATATTTTTTGCATTGATATTGACTGTATCACTCATTTCACTATAATATATTAAGTTATTATTTCTTCAAGTCATTTTGAAATCATAAATCTTACAATGTTTTTTTATTGTAAGGTTTATGGATTAAAATAATGGTCAGGTAATATGTCTTCAAATATGTAATCTACATATTTATCTATATCATCCTTATCTATATATTTGATATTGTCTTTTCCTATTATTGAATAAATATATTCCCAAAAGAATAAATACAACAATAGACATACTTTATATTTAGTGTTGTAGTAATACCATATACTATATTCAGTTACTCTAAATTCGTTCAAGACTTCGTTTATGTTATCTTTGTCTAATAAATGCCAATCAATCCATTCAAACAAATAACGGTATTTTTTGACAAATGCTTTGTATGGTTTAATTGCGTTTATTCCTCCAAACCTCCTAATTAAATCTATATTACTAAAGAATTCATCAATTTCATTTTCATATGACTTTCTGGAAATCTTCTGGTAAAAGTGTATAGGAAATCTTGCTTGGTGTCGCATAAAGAATTTTAACTGTAATTGAAACTTTGTATATCCCTTATCCTTATGTTCTTCAACAAAAAACTTTTCAAGGTCTCTTGTTATACAGCATTGATTGCAGTATACATTATATTCACTTATTTTATTACATACATTTGCTGGTAGTATATGATGCAAGGTTAAACTCAAATCATTCATTTTGCATTTACAGCATTCGCACTTGTTATAGTTAAACAACATTTCACTAATATTATAAGGCGTTTTTTCTTTAACTGTATTTCGTTTAATATTAAACTTTTAATAATTCGTGTCTCAAATAAGGATTAGTTTTTCCTTCCAAATGAAAGTAAGATTGCCCTAATTTATTGTCAATTGATTTTACTTTAAATACTTCTTTTAACCAATGACTGGTATGTGCCTTTTCGCTTATGCCTTTCTTCTCATTATTTTTACATTACTACCCACTGACAACTCAGGGTATTTTCTAGTATTTCTTGCTTGCATTGTAATATTCATTTTTACCTCAAATTCATTCTTTTTTAATCTTGCCTGTGCTGGAACAAAGCGGGTGGCAGAATGCACCATCTTATTATTGTAAGTTAATAATATTTCAAAAATATAATCCGTCCATTGGATATTCTGCTTTCCATTTTTCTTGTCCGCTTCAACTCGTTTAAACAGTTGATCTTTAAAAGTCTGAATTCCACGCTCCGCAAATGCTGGATGACCTCTAGTTCTATGTAATTCAATTTTCTCCTCCTTCAAATAATCTAATACTGATTGATTAAAAAAACTGCCTTCCTCGTCGGTATAAATTAATTTCGGTTTGCCACCCATCTTATTGATATTCTCCATCATTCCTGCTAAAATGTCTGGCGGTGTCTTGGATTTAATTGGCACGATATGCATATATTTGCTAAATATATCAATGCATATCATTCCAATTCTAAATGTTTGATTTTCCAAATCATTTTTAGAAATGAAAAACATATCAACTTGAAATTCCCAGAAACTATGCGGAGCAATAAAACTATTTTCACCTCTCATCTTTCTTTTTTCTTCTACATTCTTACTAAAGAATTCATTAATATCGTTTATTGTAATACTACTATCTTTTTGCTTAGCATCCTTGAGGGTTGTTTGTTTTGAACCATAACCGCTTCTATCATAATATACACTCTTAATAATTTCTTGTGTTGAACTCATTAATTAAGTTAATAAAATAATTTTGAAAAACTCATTTTCAAAATTATTCATGACGCGCTGCAATTGCAATAGACACAAAAGGCGGTGCAGTTTTCAACTGTGTGGCATAACTCATTATCACAACGTTGAGCAGTGAAGTTAGAACGTATTTTTCCTCCTCTTGTATCTAGATTAAATTTAATTCCGCAGTTTTGGCAACAGGATTTGAAGTATTTTAAGCACCAGTTTTCGTCAATGTATTGCTCTTCGTCTATTTCTCTTTTTGCTACTCTATCTTGATGTTTATATCATTCAACTTTGTTTTTAAAATAGTTGATTACCAAACTCTTAAACATATCTTCATCTCCCTCTTTGTTCTTGTAAAAATAGACATTGTTAAAATCCCTCGCTCGTGTGATACTCGTCCACAACCATTCCCTACAAACTAAATAATCTTTGTTCCATTCGTGAATGGTCATATTATCACTGATTGATGTCCCCTGTCTGCTATGAGTGGTAGCACAGTAGGCATATCTAAAATGCTTATCTACAATATCAATGTCAAGTGTTCTAATGTTCTCTGTATCCTTAATATCTTGTATTGTTATCTTGTATCCTTCGTTATTAACAACCTTCCACCTAATATTCACATTCAGTTTTCCTTCCTTGTCCTTTTCGTAAAGTCTGCATATTAAGATTTCTCCAATTTCATATTTGCATGTTTTACCTAATCTGTTTCTAATCTCATTTGATACTGCCTCGCATCTTATATTTGTATATGCTATGTTGTTCCTGCTTTTCATAACATCTTTAGTAAATTTGAAATGCTTAACTATCCATTCTTCAACTGCCATCTTTTTTACCCAAAAGTCATCATAGATTTCATTCAGTTTCTTTCTGTTTCTTTCTCCTTCTTCTGTATCCTTACCACCTACTCGCTTACACATCTTTAAAAATATATTATATTTAAAAATAATGTCAATACATTTGTCAATGTATTCGCCTGCATTTTGAGTATTAGTGAAAGGTTCAATCGGTGGCAGTTGCTTGACATCACCGGCACCTATAATTATGATGTCAGGATTGTTATTTGCAAACACCCTTATTTTGTTCAATATGTAAGGACTGGACATATAAATCTCATCAAACACTATACAATCAAAATCTGAATAATCAAACTTTGGTAGGTCATCCCCTTTATCAACTGGAATGCTAAAGAATGTATTTACTGTCACCGCTTCGCATTCAATCTCTTGTTTTAACATATTTTGAGGCACTACAAAAAGTGTATTGTGACCTAAATTTTCCATATACTTGCCTATAAAACTTTTACCGCTCCCAGCAAATTTTGCTCTAATCATAACTCTTCTTTTTTCAATAATCTTATTACAGATGCTTTCAACATCCCACTCATCTTCAATCGGTATTGTTTCATTCTGAAAAGTTGGTATTTTTACTAACTCATTAAATTTCCAATTGTAATCAGTTTCCAGTTCATAGACTTTATTATTTTCTACTCTCCAACCTCCAATATCATTATGAAAATCTAACAACTTCTTTGCCTTCCTTACATCTTTCTTTGCAATATGAAAGGCATCGGTTTTCACCGCATAAACTTTAATACTATTTGCTTTAAGTTTTTCGTATGCTTCATACATTGCAAAATTATGACCCTGAAGTAGGAGTTCTTTAATCGGTCTAAATCCGTTCATTAGTTTTCTTTGGTCGGTAAGACAAACAACATAATATTTGGCAGTCTTACTTATCTTTTCAGTTTCCCTATATTTCTCCCCCCGTTCGCTGTAATAAGTCTTGCCGTCTTCAA